TTTATATCTATATTTCATTTATGCTCATTAAATATCTGTTGAATTGCGAGGTCAGAATTCTAACACTTTTAAGTGTTAGACTTTTTGTTGTCAAAAATGGAAATTTATGATAACCTCATGATTCCTTCCATATTTAATGATTTTAAAGATGAACAGGATAGAATAAGAGTTACTTCTGGATAGTTGAAAGTCTACCTTGTAATTAGCTAAGCCAAGATTTTGTACCCTGCTCACAAGTTTTGAACTGGGTCAAAATAAGTTACAGATAGTTTTCTTGGCTTTTACTTATGAATGAATCTCCATTTCTAAAATAGTCATAGCATTGCTTTGGAGCATAATTTATTTGGCATTGAGGACTGAATTTATTTTTATGCTAATGGGAAGGTTTTTCAGAGTTCCTCTGATTGATGGTTTGACTTAAAAACATTTATTTTAATTGTATTGCTAGTAATATATTTCCCGATAATGTTCTTTCCTCTAACACAGCTAAGATATTTTTTTTTTCTTTAGCTATAAAGCTTCTCTAATTGATCTGTATTAGTCTGTAAGGGAGGTATGTGGTCAGCTTGACCAAATACTGAATGATTTGCAGAGAGAAACCTCCAGCCCCCTAGAAACCAAAGCAAAAAAATCTGCTTAAAAAAAACTAAACAGAATAAGATGTTGCAAGCCAGTTTTCATTACAGAATACTCAGATATCTGTGCTTTTGTCTAGTTTAAATTATTATATATTTTATTGTTATGATTCTATTTTATTCTTAAACAAGAAATGTTTGGTTATGTAATTTATTCATGCCATTGGAACTTAATTATTTTTGGCTTCGCTTTCTATATAATATTTTGTTAGACTTTAATGTTTCACATAAGTTCTTTTTATCTTCTATTTTTTTGGACATTCTTTATTGTGGTATTCCTTCTTGAGGTATTATGAGAGAACAAGAAGTTTACTAAAAGAACATGAAAAAAAGTAAATGTTAAGACTGTTTACAGATTGCTTCAAGTCCATGTTACTTGTGGATTACAAAGTGGGAACATTTCACTTCAAAGCACATCTGGCCGCTGTTATAAAATCAGAAAATAGATTGCTTATTCCCCCAAATAGACTCAGAACATGCTTTACTGTGAATAATTCCCATTGCATATTAAAAGTGGTTAAGAGGCAAATTCAATGTATTGTCAATGAAAAACAATAACGCAAGATTTCTGCTTGTTTATAGCGTTCTTTTTCATTTTTGCTTTTAAGTGTTAGACTTTTTGTTGTCAAAAAAGGAAATTTATGATAACCTCATGATTCCTTCCATATTTAATGATTTTAAAGATGAACAGGATAGAATAAGAGTTACTTCTGGATAGTTGAAAGTCTACCTTGTAATTAGCTAAGCCAAGATTTTGTACCCTGCTCACAAGTTTTGAACTGGGTCAAAATAAGTTACAGATAGTTTTCTTGGCTTTTACTTAATTTTAAGATTAATTAGAGCTATGACATCTTTGAGGATTCCTCATGTCTCTCTTCCTTTGCTTTCCTCCTCAGGTTTAATTTTGCTTATTAAAAAATGTTTTCTGTATTTGCTGATTGATGTGTCTTTGAGGAACTTATTTATGACTGCACTGCTTTGTATATTCCAAAATTGGAGAAGGGGTACTTTTCTTATGTATGCATATATATTTTTACTAAACATGTATTCTCATAATTTATAAAATAATATAGAACATAACAATTTACATAATATAGAACTTCAGGCAGTAAATATCTATTGAGTTTACTTTGTTGTCTGTTGGAAAAGCTATGTGTATTGTATTATCTAAGAAGTGGGTCTCTCTGATGTAATCTGTAAGTGAATTTTATTGTTATTTTTATATAAATGTTTGCTCTGAGTAATTATGCTTGGTCATATACCCTTCAGCAATGCTCCATAACTTAAACACTGTTATATTTTTGACATACCCTAATCTTGTGGCTGAAGAATAGCCTCTCAGTATTATGGCATTACTTTATTATTATTATTATTTTTATATTTCTAAATAAATTGACCAGGTCTAATGTTTATTACTGATTCTCTATTTTTTCATCAATAAAATATAGCTGAAATTTCCTCCTAGTTTTTCATAAAAGGGTCACTGCTCTTGCATTAATTTTTAAAATCCCTCTTTGCATTTTGAAGACAGTCCATTGTAAACATAGCTCACAGGAATTTTGGGAAAATATGAAATACTTAAAGTTCAGACAATGGAAAGTCTGAAGAAATGGGAACTGATTTTAGGACCTCGTGGCTATTAAGGACACTGCACAATGCGAAGAATCAGCAGACCAGCCAGTTTCTTTGCAGGAACTCCCAAACGAGGGCGCATAGTTTCACCAGCCATTCATTCTTTCTTCCACAAAGGTTTGTTGTGGACCTGGTCTTAAGCAGGCATTGTGGACGCTAGTGGGAACATGACTGGAGAATGAGAGAGACTCCTTCTGTGCCCGTGTGAGGCTGAGAAGGTCCTTAGAACATAAGGCACAAAGAATTATTTCACCATCATTGTGATGAGAGCCATGAGGGAAAAGCCCAAGGGGCTATGGGGATGTTTGCGTGGGAATGTGGTGGGTGGCAGTGGGGTCTGGGAACTCCCCTCCCCTCAGAATCTCTTAGCTCTTTTGCCTTTTTAGTGTATATTTCTCATTTTTATTTGTGTGTATGTGTGTGTGTGTGTTTTCTCTACAATTGCATGTCCTTTCTGTTTGTTTTTACTCCTCCATTTATTTCTACTCCCAAATTTCCCTTTTATTCTTCTTCTGTTTGTATTATCTTCATTGAACTCTGCACGGCTTCTAACCCCAGGATCATTTTGGGGATGTTCCTTAAATATTCTTTTCTTTATGAATTCCCATTTCTGTGTTTATTTGCATGTCCGGTGATTAGAGAGCGGGGGTCATGGTGAACAGGATGGAAAGAACCTGGAGTTCTGATATTTTGCCCTGAAGGGTGTTAAGTTTGTCCTTGTTGGTATTTCAGTTCCTGGAAGATCACTTTGAACTTGAGTTTTTGACCTACTCATATTAGTCATCTGGTGTACCCATTTTTTCCCCCTAATCCCCTTTATCATGGTGGAATTTCATTTTCTTCCCCCCCCCCCTTTTTCTGTGGTTTTAAGGGAACAGTGAGGGCTCTCCAAGGCTGAACCATCAATGCTCATAGTTTAGCTGGTGCGTTCCCTGAGCCTCATGTTGTCTTATCTTGGACATGTGAGTCCTGTCCTCCGGCAGTGTGGGGCCTAGACTTTGTGCTCCATAAGCCCCGTTTGTCTCACAACTCCTCATCTCACCCCTGCTTCCTTCTCTCCCGGGTGCCTCTCCTGCTGCTGATGGAGAAGTCGTGGTTGAGAAGTTATCTTTGAGAGCTGGGAGGGGACCGAGGGCAGTTGGGGAATTTCTCTCATTGCTGAGACTTCTGCCTTTAGATATTTGGTTTAGCTGTCCAGTATCTTTTACTTCATTTATTTTGTTCCAGCTATTTTTTTTTTAATTTTAGGAGTTTTGCTTTGGGGTTTTCAATGTAACTGCCTCTACGTCTTTGCTTCTTTATCCATCCTTACCCCATTGTCAAGTTGGGTATGGATGATTCATCTTCTGTAATTACTCATGACACTAATTCGTCTTCCATGATTACTCACTACACTTAGAAAACCTTTGGAAAGCATGGTGGGTATTTTAGAGTAACGGGAGCTGAAAAATATATTCCAGTTCCTGCGCTAGTGGCGGGGGTACCCCCTGGAAAAGTGCTCTTCCTCGTTGGTGTCGTAGTAGCGGCACACTCTCATCCTTGTGCAGTGTGGGATGATCTGTGAGGCAGGTTGTGAGTTTATGCTATCAAAAGGTTAGAATGGAATGAGGCTGACTTCCAGTATTTTATTTTCTAATGGTTAGTATAGCAGTGTTTCTGGTTTATCTAGTTCATGTAATATAGTCATCCTGACAAATACGGAGAAATGTTATGTGAAGTATCATGCTTGGTTCGGGGAATACACCGTCATCCTTGCAAGCGTCATACCTGAAGACAGGTGTGGGGACTCACATAAAGGCTAGGAGAGACAGGGGGGATGGGGTGTAGGGTATCAGATTCATCACCCCTCTTACTCTTTCTTCTCTCTCTTATTAATAGCGAATATTTATATAGTACTCACTGCCTGCCAGGCCCTGTGTTGGATTGATGTAGTATAAGACTGTAGTAGTTTTTAGAATCCACTTTTGTTTTTATTTCAAAAGGCAGTTATTAAATCATAAAAGAGAACCATCTTCCAGGGTCCAGCTATCAGAATAGTAAGAACTTCATTAAATTTCCAGGGGAGATAGTTCCTGAACTAGGAGGCTTGAATAAACAAAATTGGGAGAATGATTTCATAGGTCATAAAGACACAGGCATGGGAGAGAGTCTAGAACTTTAAAGGTAAATTGGTAGGGTGGCGTCCTTGGGTTGTAAGGGATGGCAGAAGGTAGATGATCATGAAAAGGTTTATGTAGGGGACATCTCAAAAGGCTTTGGTATTCTACTACCTGTTTTGGTCTTCAATTTAGGATCCATTCATCAAATTTAGCTGGGAGCCTAGTGATAAGATTTAGATTTGAAAGGTGACTAGGTGTGAGCTCCTATGGGCTGGGGGTGGGCAGAGTACTGTGTGCAGGTGGAGGGGGTGGCCTGGCCTGTGGCGGGACTTATTGTCCCATAGGCCAGGAGTGTGGGCTGTGAGGGGAGCTGGGCGGATAGGCCGTGATGTGACCAGAGTCTCACCACGGTGTCAATGTGTGTACACGTGTGGCAGAGTGTGTTGGGCTTGTCTGCCCCACAGTGCAGCTATCAGTGTTAATACAACACCCATTCTAAGAAACAAGAACTAGTCAGATAGAAAAACCTATAGAAAATGTTTCATTGTAGCATCTTAGTGCTGCATTTTATCAAATAATAAGAAGGTCTTTTAAATGAATTAGTTCTTATTGTATCTTATTTTTAAATTTTCAGATAGAAAATCCTCGGTACCTGCGACAGAAGCCTCTCCCAGTGTCTCTGGTGAGAATATCTTCGGGCTTTGCCTGGGGACAGAGAATTTGATTTTGTATTTTAATTTATTGTGATTTGTGAATTATTTTTCTATTCTCCTTTGCACCCCAGTTTGACATATGTGTGTGTGTATGTGTGTGTATATATGTGTGTGTGTGTGTGTGTGTGTGTGTGTGACACACATACATCTGGTGGCCTTGGGAGGAGCCACACTTGGCAGTGTTCTCCGACTACTGCTGGCTCGTGCTCTCGCCAATACTTGGGGAACCATGTGGTGCCCAGGGATTGAACTCGCGTCTTCCACTGTCAAAGTGTATGCTAAGCTCACTGAGCTCTCTTTCTGGCCCCTGGGCAGACGTTTTTAAATAAAACAGTCATTAAGTCATTTCCAGAAAATAATGAGCAGATGTTTGGGCTAGAGCGATAGCACAGCGGTAGGGCATTTGCCTTGCACGCAGCCAACATGGCCAACCCGAGTTCGATTCCTCCGCCCCTCTCGGAGAGCCCGGCAAGCTACCGAGAGTGTCTCGCCCACACTGCAGAGCCTGGCAAGCCACCCGTGATGTATTCGATATGCCAAACACAGTAACAACAAAACCTCCAATGGAGACGTTACTGGGCCCACTTGAGCAAATCGACGAACAACGGGAGGGCCTTTACTTTTACTTTACTTAATGAGCAGATGCAGAGCAGAAGCAGCACACGGGCAAAGGAAGAACACCTGCGGGCATCTCAGTGAGAACTCCCAGAGAAGCGAGTATTCCCATCTGACCTGCCTCCTCCCAGGCGCGCACTTGGGCTGGGTCGCAGCATGAGCAGAAGGCCCCTGTTCTGAGCCGGGCTGTGCCTCCGCCCTTGCCAGGAGCCCCCTGAATTCGCCCGCGGCCCTTAGCAGGGCTCCCCAGGGTCAGTTGTGTGGTTGCGTTTCCTGTTCAGTCTTCTGCTTGGCTCAGGGTCCCCTAGTCTCCAGGCCTTTGAGAGTGAGGATTGGGCCGACCCCCCGACTCTCGAACAGAAGAGACACCTGGGTCTGACCAAGGGGATTTTTTTTCTTTTTTCATTATTTATATATTTAGTTAGTTATGGGCACAGCGGGTAGGGCGTTTGCCTTGCACGCAGCCAACATGGCCAACCTGAGTTCTATTCCTCTGCCCCACTTGGAGAGCCCAGCAAACTACCGAGAGTAACTCGCCAGCATGGCAAAGCCTGGCAAGCTACCCGTAGCATATTCGATATGCCAAACACAGTGACAAGTCTCACAATGTTACTGGGCCCGCTCCAGCAAATCGATGAACAATGGGAGGACAGTGTCAGTGACAGTGACAGAAAATAATACAGGCCCACATAATAAAGCATATTATTATTATTATTATTATTATAATTATTGTTATTGTTTTTTTGGTTGGGCGGTCCCCACCTCTGTGCTCAGGAATTACTCCTGGTGATGCTTGGAGGACCATATGGGATGCTGGGGATGGAAACCATGTTCAATGCAAGTGCCTTAACCCTCGAGCTATTTCTCCAGCCCCAAGCATTCTGTTATTAATTCCACCACACTGAAACAAAAAAAACCCTCCTTTTTCTCTCTATGTTGGTACTGTTTTGGAATTTTGCAAGTTTTCTTTTGGGTGGAGGGTAAACCAAGTCTGAAAGTTGCATTAAGTCACTCTTACGCACCCAACAGATGTCTCCCAAGCTGAGCCTGAGGAAGTCCAGCAGTCTTCACGAAGACCATCTGCTCTCTCGGATGCATGAGAAAGAGGTAGGACCAAGCTGTTTCGGAGGCATCCAGTTAATAGCATTATTGATTATGTTTTGTAGAGGAGGAGTTTTCAGGTCCTCTTGAGAATAGCGTATATTAAAAAGATTGCCTTACTCTTTACAATAGCCAGAAACTGGAAGAAACCTGAATGCCCAAGAACAGATGACTGGTTAAAGAAACTTTGGTACATCTACACAATGGAGTACTATGTAGCTCTTAGAAAAGATGAAGTCATGAACTTTACATACAAGTGGTACAATATGGAAAGTATCATGCTAAGCGAAATGAGTCAGAAAGAGAGGGATAGACATAGAAAGATTGCATTCATCTGGGGGATATAAAGTAACAAAGTATGAGATTAATACCCAAGAATAGCTGAGATCAGCACCAGGAGTTACTCCATAACTTAGAGGCCAGCCGGGTATCCTAGAGGAAAGGGCAGTTCAGATAGAGAAGGGAGCACCAAATAAAGGATGTTTGGAGGATCCTCCCAAGAGGGGAGATGCATGTCGAAAGTAGACTATGGACTGAACATGTTTGCCACTCAATGCCTCTTTTGCAGACCACAACACCCAAAAGGAGAGAGAGAACACAGGGGAGTGCCCTGCCACAGAGACAGGGGGGATGGGGGGATGGGGTGGGAGGGATATTATCCATGGTGGTGGAAAATGGGCACTGGTGGAGGGATGGGTATCTGATCATTGTATAATTGAAACCAAAGCACAAAAAATTGTAAATCTACAACTTTAAAAAAATAAAATAAAATAAAGGGAAAAAAAACCTTAAAAAAAATAAAAAATAAAAAGATTGCCTTTGGCACAAATATAAAATTTTTTTTTATATGCAGAGTAAGCAGGTTTTGTTTTCCTACCTTTTTTTTTTGCGAGGGAAGGAACTCTTAGGTGTTCTGGGGCCACTTCTGGCAGTATTAGGGGCAGCGTGTGGTGTTGGAGATTGAAGCAGGGACTCCCACGTGTGTCACATGTGCTCCTGGCCCTTTGCACTGTCTCCCTGGCCCTCTCTTCCTACTCTCCCAAGCCTGTCTTCCACGTGCGTGGGTCCACAGTCTGTTCAGGGCCTGTCTCCTGACTGTCTTCCTGTACGGGCTGGGGAGATGTCCGTGTGGAGCCACAGTGCCTTTGACCTCAGTGAATGTTCTCTCTACCTTTCCTTTATCTCAACCCAAGGGCATTTTTCTAGCCTCACTCTTTTATTCTTTTTCCTCTTGAAATTGATTAGCTCAGTTAAACTATATCGTAGCTAGCAGTACGTAGTTTGACAGGTTACACCATGCTTGGTCATTTAATTTTTGGTTTTATTTGCGGGCCACACTGGCAGTGTTCAAGGCTTACTCCTAGCTCTGTGCTCAGGGATCACTCCTGGCAGGCTCAGGAGACGACGTGTGTGCTGGGGATACAAGCTGGGTTGGGTGTGTGCAAGACAAACGTCCTCCATGCTGTACTATTGCTCTTGCCCCTGTGTTTTGTCTTTTCAAAGTAGAATTATTTGAGGTAGTTTTGTTTAGAAGAGAAGAAGACAGGCTGGGGAACTCAGAATACTGGATTTGAATTCTCCTTATTTGGGTGTGAAAATGGGCAAGTCTGTACTGTCTCCCTTTCACCTTTTTTTTTTCGCTTTTTGGGTCACACCCAGCAGTGCTCAGGGGATACTCCTGGCTCTGCACGCACAAATTACTCTTGGCAGTGCTCAGGGGACCATATGGGATGCTGGGAATTGAACCCGGGTTGGGCGCGTGCAAGGCAAATGCCCTATCCTCTGTGCTATGACTCCGGCCCCTCCCTTTCACCTTTGCCAGGCAGTCCTTTTTCTTTTTTTTTTATTTCTGACAGGGAGGATCTGATCATTTTCATAGGGAAGACCCCAGTAAGATTCAAGTCCAAAGTAAAGTGTAACATAACATATTTTAGGTTGAGAACTTATTTATGGAAGTGAGACTGCACATCAGGTTACAGAAACTGTGGCCCACTTCCTGAACTTGCGTGTCCCCATGTGTGGGGCTGGGCTAGTGTGTTTCTTCTGCTGCCAGCGGGAGCAGCCTTTGGCAGGGGGTTTCTCTCCATGTCTGCGCCTTCAACATCAGCCATTAAAGAAAGGCTATTTTTAAAAAATTATTATTGTACAATTTTTATTTTAAAACCACTGCTGGGATTTCCCCGCCCCCCCCGCCCCCCCCCCCCCCCCCCCCCCCGTGGCTCCAGTGAAACCCATTGGCATTCTTTGGCTGGCTGGAAGGCTGAGGAATGGGAATCTGAAACAGTGGTACTGGCCTACCTTTACGTCCCCTAACTGAGCCTTGGGAGGTCCCGAAGATTCCTTTTGGTGCTCAGTAAGAGGATGATGAATTGACTCTCACAGCGCCGTGCCAAAACATGGAGCACTGGTGATTGCTCTAACGTGAGAATGTCATGGCACTACTTGGATGTGCAAATTAAATGGGTGGCGGTCTTTTCGGATTTAAATGATTGTTTCTAATGCACTTATTTAAACTGTTTTCACTTTCATTTTTATTTGTGAGACTGCTTGTCAGAATTTCTGAAATTTAATTTCAACTTAGTTATTTTCACTTATACTTTACTGACCCGTGTATTCTAGGAAACATTTCTTTTGGAGGGGTTGGGGGTCGGGGGGCTTGCCCACACACCTGGCAGAGCTCAGGGCCTGCTTCTGGCTCTGACCTCTCAGGGGTCACTCCTGCTGGGGTTCAGGAACCGTATCCGGTGCATAGACCCAACCTGAGTCAGCCACGTCCAAAGCAGATTCCTTACTCATTCTACAATCTCTTTGGCTCTGAAACCTTGATTTTTATCTTAAATATCCCAGACAATATCATGAGCATAGATAACTTTTGATGATCATAAAGGAAGAAGGACTGAGTCAGTGACATTCTGTCATTCCACAGATTCCGCCTAGGACCTGCAGAGGTTTGCTGCTTAGTGCAAATCTAAAAGAACTAAAAAGAAATCTCATTTAAAAAGAGACTTCTAAAAACATTCTTAACTCATGTGTACCTTCTTTTCAACTATTGTTTCAAATTTCTTTTCTTTTGAAAATTGTCATTGTTTTCTAGAAGTCATACTAAGTCATTCCTAACCATCTCTTCTTTCCCTTTTGTTTTGTGCTAATTTTAACAGTTGAGGTCACTTACCATAGAATCAATAAAAACAGTTAAAAGACTGTGGAGGCGTCTTGAGATTCTTTTGATCTTTCGTGAAGCAATATCCTCATTCTTTATTGTGACATCGTGGGGCAGAGATGAACATACCGAGGCTGCCCACAGATGCGTTGAAAGAAAAAGCAGTTAAATGTGTCCCGCATAAGAGATTCATCTTTAAGTATATGAGCCTTTATTTTCTTCCTCCATACCATTATATTTCTCTTTTTGGTATACTTTAAAAATATGGGTGATAGCATTCAGAAGTTTGTGTAGATACAAATTTAGTTGATATCCTAAAGTATTCTTAGGGCATATTTTGGCTCTAACAACTCTGTGTGCAGTGACATAGTAGTTTTCTGATGTGTTTGGGTGGCACTTTTTGATGGTCTTCCCCTGTCGCCCTTCCAGTTGTTGCAGTGACTGGGATCTGCACACACTTGGTGGTGTGCTTGTACATGTGCTTGCCAGGGTTTGCACGCTTGGTCTTTGCCCTCTCAGATTTTAGCTATGGTGCTCGGGGGGTGGGGGTGGGGGGCAGGAGCTGCACCCTTTGGACGTGCAGTGCAGTGTGTGGACACTTGCTGTCGTGCGCTGGAAGTCTTGCTGCTGGTGCTTGCAGGGTCCAGCTTGATATGTGGGTGGGGTTGCAGTTTGGTCCCGTGGCCTCATGTCTGCCGAGCTGTCCCTCTCCCACTAAGCCCTCTCTGGACTAATTTCGAATTTTTTCTTTATCACAAACTATTTAAAAGTGTGTGTTAGCCCAAAAGGGAGGGGAGGTAGAGGAAAAGAGGGAGAGAGGCAGGGAGGGAGAGAAGGAGGGAGGCAGAGAGAAAGAGACAGAGAGAGAAAATGGGAGGAATCAACCTACCTAACTTCAAACTCTACTACAAAGCAGTAATAATTAAAACAGCATGGTACTGGAACAAAGGCAGAGCTGCAGATCAATGGAACAGGGTTGAATATACTGACATCTCCCTCAAGCATATGATCATCTAATTTTTGATAAGGGAGCAAGAAATATGAAATGGAGCAAGGAAAGCCTCTTTAACAAATTGTGTTGGCAAAACTGGACAGCTACATACAAAAAAAATGGGCTCAGATATCGGCCTAACACCATATACAAAAGTAAGATAAAAATGGACTAAAGACCTCAACATCAGACTGGAATTCATAAAATACATTGAAGACAAAGTTGGCAAAACCCTCCATGACATCGAAGCTAATGGTATCTTCAAAGATGTCACGCCACTGGCCAAGCAAGTGAAAATAGAGATAGACAAATGGGACTATCTTAAACTAAGAAGTTTCTGTACCTCAAAAGAAACTGTGACCAAAATACAGAGACAATCTACAAAATGGGAAAGGATATTCACCCAATACACATCCAACAAGGGGTTGATATCAAGGATATACAAAGTACTGGTTGAACTCCACAAGAAGAAAACATCCAACCCCATCAAAAAATGGGGCAAGGAAATGAACAGAAACTTTCTCAAAGAAGAAATCCGAATAGCTAAAAGGCACATGAGAAAATGCTCTACATCATTACTCATCAGGAAGATGCAGATCAAAACCACAATGAGATATCATCTCACACCACAGAGATTGGCTCACATCCAAAAGAACAAAAGCAACCGGTGTTGGCGCGGATGTGGGGAGAAAGGGACCCTCCTTCACTGCTGGTGGGAATGCCGACTGGTTCAGTCCTTTTGGAAAACAGTATGGACGATTCTCAAAAAATTAGAAACTGAGCTCCTATTTGACCCAGCAACTACTACTCCTGGGAATATATCCCAGAGAGGCAAAAATGTATAGTCGAAGTGAC